CACACACACACACACACACACACACACACACACACACACACACACACACACACACACACACACACTCTCAAACTAAGCTATGGCGCCTGGTGCTGTTGACTACTGCTATGCTACGCTCGCTCATCTGTTGCTGTAACGCACGAGACCGCAATAGCACTTCTGCATCAAGCACAAATGCAAATTGCGTTGATGTCTGGTCAGTGCCAGACTTCTTTCTGTACTCCACTGCATCCTGGAATTGTGAACTCGGATGTTCGGACCTGCTGCTTGCAGCGAAGGTCGGCCTGGCCTCGACAACTGGAATGTTTCGGACTTTTGGGCTGATGCGATGCGACTGATAGATGGACTGACAGACAGGTAGACGGACTGCTAGAATTCCTAGACCTGCGGACAGTATGGACCTATTAACGTTGACCTATGGTGCGGCCCGTGCCTACAATAAGGCCTAGAACTGGACGACCTATCGGATGGGAATATGGAGCAATGGGAAAGTCTGGACTTTGAGACTGGACGGGGAACTCTGAGGTACATGAATGTTTTCACTCCCGCTGGCTGGCCTAAAATCAAGGTCCTTCCATAAAGGTGCCAACTTTACCTATCTGTGATTCCGATCCCCCTGAGAGATGGTCCGTAGTGTCATATACGATCGTCAGTGCAGTTTCGGTTGGTTGATCCTTGGGGAGCCCATCTGTCCTCCTGTGGGTCTTGATACTGCCATCTAATTCTTGATACTGCTTTTAAGGTCTTCTCCTTCGCGCTGTTCTGAATGTGTCCTGGTTATAACTTATAACTATTCGCTCAAGATAATAACTTCAACCATATCTGGAGGTATCATTGACCTTCTTGAGGGGAATGTCTTGTTTGAATCAACGGGTCGTAACTTTGAGGCATAAAATATAGGGTATGTACTATGTACTGTGTAGTCACGATCACCTAAAAAGCATGCATACCCCCTCAAAGACACCTCCGCAAGCCCGAAGCCCCTCATCCAAAGATTCTAAACCCTTTTTTTTTCCTTTTTTTTTTGTGACATCCGCAAGGTGTGCTAGAGGTGCTGGTGAGAGCAGGCACCTCTAGCAACCTGGGGGTTGGCTCCTGTCTATTGGTGGGGAGCAGAACCCGCTTGAAAATGGGTCGAGCGACCCTTATGACAAATACGAAGTCCAGAGCACTGAGACAATTGCAGAAGCTGAGCAAAACCTGGCTCTTCAGCCAACATGTGGCCACCTGATGAGAGCAGGCTAGTACTCTATGGTACCTAGCAGGTAAACTCTCATGAGTATACCCACTCATTGAAATCATGTATCTTTGCCAAACCATTGTAATTCCACCAGGGAGTGGTCGGGAAATGGATACGGGTCATGGAACTCCTCGGGGTCTTTCGCGGGGACCCTCAGGTCAATCGTCAGCCAGTCATGGAAATTAAACTTATAGCAGGGTTGCATACCCGGCGACCCCTACCGCTGACCGTTTTGCAGCCAACCAGTAGGGCCGACCGGTCGGCGGTCTGCCGACCAGTCAGAAAACAGCCATCCACTGATTGTTTTTCAAATCTGAGTTGGGGACTGTACTGCGCTTGCTGATGAGAAACTTTTGGGGATGGGCGGGGTATGGGGGGTTTAGGGTGGGGGTATAGGGGTGCTATAGGGAGTATTTGGGGGGGTATGAGGGTGTTGTAGGGCGGTTTGGGGGTGTTGGGGGTGTGTGGGGGGTTGTTGGGGGCAGGTATGGGGGTGTTGGTGGAGTTCTTGGGGGTTACTCCCAGGAAAAAATAATAATTATTATAATAATAATAATTTTAAAAAATGTGGGGTGCCGAGGACCCCCGACCGGTAGGCGTTGACCAGTCTAGGGCGCCGACCGTCGGGGTATGCAACCCTGACTTATAGTCTTTTCTGAGGAATGTGCCCCCTGTTCCTTTCCCTGGCCACTCCACATGGGCCAGCCCCCCCTTTTCTCCCCCCAGCCAGTCTGAGCTGAATTGGTGAAGCTCTTTTACTATGTCTTTCTTTTGTGTAAGCAGGCGGCCCTTTTCCTCCACTTTTTCCTCCACTTTTTCCTCCACTTTTCCTCCACTTTTTCCTCCACTTTTTCCCATTGCGTCAGCAGTCCCATTTGGAAGAAAAGTCGAATCATATCTGAGACCTCTGCTCCTTCCACCCTCACTCATCCAAACCCTAAACCCTGATATCTCAGTTATCTGGGTCCATACGTCCACGTCATGTTCCTGTTTGACACATGCCCTGGTGGATGTCTGGGCCCATTGTGAGAAATTGTGGAATCGGAAGTTACAGTATGTACAATCGTTCATGATAGTTTTCTTTTTTACTTTGAGGAAATATAAAAGGTTTAGCACTAAGAGATGTCTGAACTTTCGAAGGGGTGGATTTACTTAACACATTGGTGTGTGACTGACCTGTATCTCTTCAGACTTAACCCATTGTGCACTGACTTGCCAGAGCATTTGCTATTTTGGAATTTATGGGGGGAAATGCAGGACAGAGCTTCCAAAGAGATTCATGGAGACATTGGACAAACATGCCGAAGCAGATGCGCTGATTTTCCAGGTGGCATGCCCTATCCATTCGACTTTTTATTTTAGGTTGCCAGGTCGCAAGTCTAGCTGTGATCCTTAACCAATAAACATGTATCAGTGTGTTAGCTTGGTTTACTTTGTGTGCAGGTGATGAAGAATGAGTTTCCTGCCCTTCAGGTCTTGTACGCACAGCCTTCTCCATATTTACCCTCCTCCCCTCTCTTATGTCGATCCTCTTTCAGTGTTCTTAATTGGGAGTGAGTGCACACCTGCATCTCCTCCTGCTCT